TTCTAAATTCCACTTGTTATTAATTACTGCCCATACAATATGAATTATTCCTGCCTGCTGTCCTGATAAAGCATTCAGAAGGTATTATTCTCATTTCATCATTACGTATTAATGGCTTTTATTAATTCACTAGCAGCTCTTTCATCAGTCAAAATCAATAAATGGATCAGTAATTCTGGCGGACAGAATAAGAGGCAGGTAGCGGGAGTTAAAAGCGGACGGTACTGAGAGAACGACAGCCTGAGGCGACACAGACCGACCGCAGCCTCTGATTGGCTGCAGCCGTGGGCTGTGTGACCCATTTAGTGAGCATAAGAGAGGATAGAGATGCTGAATGTGAAGGGTTTTCACAAAGCAATGCTAGTGAAATAATGCCACATTGCTTCAAGGGATTTTTGCAGAAAGACGTATAGTGCTCTTACCTTATTATTTTGGGCGAGCATGTGGGCGACGTTCTCATCCCTCCGTTACGCTGTTTTTTCTTGGGCGACAGAGCCGACTGCTGCTCCTCCTCCACTACTGAAACACCAGCAACAGTTTGAGATGCAACCAAACTACATATGTTACCAAACAACAGTCACAAAGTATATTTTATTTACAATCTTTTTATAATGGAAATTCAAAAACATGTTCATGTTTTTTTTAAATACTGACTCTGAATACTGATTTTATTACAACATATATTTAAAAAATAACTTTTGAATATTTAATTACTTATTGATTTATTATTGATCCTCCACAGTCACCGAGCCAGGTGCAATTTCTCAGGAACTTATTTCAGTGATATCTGTCAGGTAGTAGTGATATTATATGGATAATATTCCTAAACTGAAATTGCTGACAGCACCATTAGCTGACATATTCAAAAAGGAAAAAAAAAAAAAAAAACTTCACACGTTTAGAAAACAATTAAAAACAAATGAAAGCCAAAGCAGTGAAATCTACAAAGTTTCTGAAGTTACAGCTCCACATTATCAGAACTGCCGTGAAGCTGCACCATCTAGTGCTGAATGAGAGCAGGTGCCTGCAGAGCTGCATTATATTCAGACACAGTGACATTCAGACTGCAAAAAGTATTTGGACACAACCTGTGTAAACTGATTTCATACAGCCACTTATTATTCTTAATGACCAACGAGCAAAAAAAGTTATTTCTCTATATTTTGAATGACACTTGCTTTGATATATTATCTGATGCAATTACATGTTTATTTTTGTCTTAGTTGTCCAAATACTTTTTTGAGGCAATTGTATATAATCAACACATAGTCTGCATCTCAATTTGCACATACACATCAGACCAAATCACATAAAATATTTGGATGAGCAGGACATGAAGAGAAGAATGACGAGAATGAAGAGAAGAGTGAAAAAACAGCAGACGGTTAAGAAACAAATGAGTAATAATGGGGAAAAGACTTACTTGATTTGATGTATCCGTTATAGTTACTTTTAGCTGAGAAAATGCAAATACAAAAAGAAGTCAAAGTGAGACACACGGAGCAATGAAATGATAAACCAGTGAGAAAGAAAATGGAAATAAATAGCTTCTTTTTTTAATCTAGAACTGACTATCTTCAACTACCCAGTGAACACAAAAACGTAACTAGTTTCCTAGCCTGATCAGCTGACCCAAAGAGCCCTTAAAACCATCAAATTAGACCAATCTAACCAGCATGGCCAGGCTGGGACACCAGCTAATTACCTTAGGCTGGTATAAGCTTTTACATATCTACGCTCTAAACCTCCAATACAAAAGACATATATACTATGTGTATTTACAACATATACTGTATAATTCTACTATACAGTATAGCCATTTTCCTAAAAAGTGTTAATAATGTCAATCACCATACCCAACATCTAGATTATTAGCATAAAACACAGCACAAACTACGCTTAAAGGACATATTCAGATAAAGACCACTGTACATAGCCGAATGTAAAATAAAACATTACAATGACGATTCAATGAATTACAAAACTAAACTACTAAACTGCATCAATACAATTCACACAAACAGCATGCAGGAGACCAAGTCTACCACACAGATACATCCATGGGCTTACAGCAGTCTTCACCACATCAGATGCCACCACTACATGGCACTGCACCAGCCAGATGGCACATACACAGGTAGCGGGCACAGATGAATACACGGGCACTCAGCATGGGTGCCACAGGGAAGGCGTTCACTTACAGGAGCATAAAGTGGTCGTGTTATCATACAGAGACACAGGAGAGAAGGGGAAGCCACGGTGCAGAACCTCCATGTTACTAGCCACACTGTCTGACATGCACGAGCAGCCACGTTCTGCCCCACCGCAAGCTACACAACATGCCAGATGCATTCTCTTGTAGGCGGACTTCTTGGCTGGGGTCATGGGGCGGATGAGGGGAGAGGAGGAGGAGAAGCATATTAATGGATGGGAGCATTATTTCACTAACAGAAGCTGGACATCCAGAAACTACAGCGGGCCAAGTATAGAGCCCTGAGGAACACCTTCAGAAAAACATGTTTGTTATCAAGTAATATATAATTCTGTTACAGAGTAAAATCTGTTGTACTTTTCAACAACAAGATATCAGTTCAAGTGGTTCCGATGCTGTTTTAATTATTTTTTATATTCTTGGGAATATTGTATTTTAGAGATGTGAGTAAAGCATGGAAATGCATGGAGATGAATGAGAAAAGATATCAGGAGCTCACTGTAACATGTCCTGCCATGGTATATAAAATATAAAAGAGCATTTTTTAACCCTTAAATTATGCAAACCACAACATTTTACCTCATAAATTAAACAAAATTATATTCTTAAATATTACAAAATAAAAAAAAACATATGAGGTGATATCTAAACTGAAAACAGAATAATTCTCAGAAAAGCTCAAGTGCTGTTAGGAGCCTGTTAGAACAGCAAAAATTCAAGCTGTCTCCTGCTGATGATGTGGTGGAGGACAGTGGGTTGATGGAAGATGTAGTTTTACATTCACACATGCAGCAGGCTACAGTCATTACTCACAATACAACACTATCAGAGAGTGGGGGAAATGATCACAGATCCAGGGCAGCGAGAAAAAGGGAAAATGTGAAATGTGTCAATTACTAACTAAATGTTTTTGATGTATTTTAAAAGTATCAGGTGGAGGTAAAATCCAAAAAGTTTGATAATGTGGCCAGGCAGTGCAGTCATATAGATAAAACAGCCTCGGTAGAGATGTCATTGACAAACTCCTCCACACATGAAAGATTTATATCTAAATCATTATTTTCCAGCTGTGGGGAAAATTGTGGTAAAGTGCAATGTAAAAACCTCACAACAAATCCAGTTTGATGATTCCTCATCCCACAACAGAGTCTACCTGATTAAATATTTTAATAAATGTTATAATCAAAAAAATACATTTTCATATTTGGTTAAATGAAAGTGATATAAAATGCACCTAATAAAATCTAATAAACCTAATACAATCTACCTATAAATATGATTATATATAACAAATAATCTATATATAAAAATAATTTATATAAAAATAAAAAGTGAAAGTAAGGCAATTATTAATAAATATTCTCATGGTAACTTACTCCGTTTGCATCCGCACTTCTTGATCCGTTTTGGGTCTGTAATGTCATCGTGACAAGTTTTACAGTAGAAAAGTGCCCTAATGGAAAAAGGCAATCTTATTCAAACCATTCACACAGCATATGAGCTGTTATGATATGAATCTATAGCTGAATATGTAAAAAAAAAAAAAAAAAATGAACATTTACTGAAGTAAAATAAATGTAAAAAAAAAAACTTTTTAGATAGCAAATACTAGTCTGACAAAGTTTCTGAAATAACAAAGGAAATAACATAAAAAAATTAAAAAACCTTTTAGTCATACTTTACATATTTCTCATTTTCGTTTTGTTTAATTTAATGCACTAAAATAACAACAAAAAATAAAATAAAAATTATAACAAATAAAATAATTATATAGACATTTAAAAAAATAATGTACAAGAAAAAAATGCACAACAAAATCACAAAAAATGTAACTAAAACTACAATTAAAATTAAAACAACATAAACATACAATCTCATTTAAAATGCTATCAATAACTATAATAGTGCATCAATGATACTAAAATAACACTGCATTTGAGTCAAGAGCATGCTAATTAAAGAAATATATATTGCTGTCACTGGATCTGGATCTTTTAGGACTGTAAATGTTTATAATGAAGATCAGACTGACCTGCTTTCTCTCTGGTCTGATTTATACTCGATCGCGATCAGCAGGAGTTTCAGCTTCACATAGCACAGTCTACAGAGAAACAAAAGATCAATTAAAAACTAAACTACACATACTAGATGAGCAAAATTCACATTTTTTGGACATTTGTTTCCTTATTTATCTTATTTATATCGGTTTACACCTGCAACTTTACAGCCAAAATATCCAGAAACGTATTCAAATAATCAAGAAATTAGAAAACCTGACTGAATTTGCGTAAACATAACTTTTGACCAAAAGGCTTCTGCTTAAATGCAGTTTTGTAGACATTAACATTTTCAATGCTTGAATTTCTTTACAAAGCAAAGTCTGGCGTCTTTGAAATTGCTCAAATATAAGAGTTTACATTTCTCAACATCATTCTCATACTTCAGTTTGTGTTTTTTTCATAGTTTCAATGGGCCTCATTCATGAAACTTGCATAAATATATGAGTAAATTGTGAGTAATTTGCGCGTAAAACAGACCTTCCCAAAAACTTTCCTCCAGATTCACAAACGCTTCGTAAACGTCCGATTTGATAGTTAAACATGTGTATGTTAATGCGAGTAAAACAGACCTTCCCAAAAACTTTCCTCCAGATTCACAAATGCTTCGTAAACGTCCGATTTGATAGTTAAACATGTGTATGTTAATGAACTCCAATCATTGGTAAATAGGGCGCTCGTGCACGCTTCACAATTAGTATAATCCCCGCCTATGAATTACAGTTACGTAAATTGCGTGTCCAGGAACACATTGGAATATTCTGGTCTACTTTCTCAGGTTTGGCTCCAGTATATTGCATAAATGCAAAAAATACTAGATTAATAGGCCATATGCCTAACCTTTGGTGGCACAGCGTTTTTCCTTAGTTGCTATGATTTGGAATATCCACGGCGACAACTTATTACTAATATCTCATTTTTAAGAATTTTACTAAATATAAAAAAGCAGTAACCAAAAAAAAACATTTTTCAAAAAGAGGGCAAGGGCAAATGAACGTGTAATTATTATGGCAGTGCATTCAAATTCAGTGTCATCAGTTTGCCAAAAAGAACACCGAACGTTTTACGCACCATTTACACCTGGTAAGGAGCAGGTGTACATTTCTGTCGTACCAACTAACATTTTGAAAATACGAACATTTTCATGAATTCGAAAGTTTACGTCAGAACGGTGTTACAAACGATTTACACAAAAATTCGTTCTGCTCGTGTTTCATGAATGAGGACCAATGACTTTACTATCATACTAACATAAGTAAAATGGTCAAAGTAACTGCACTCATCATACTTACTCACAAATGGTGGGGAAAGACAAACCCACGAAGGCACTGGACAGATACTCCGTGTACATTTCATTGGCTACTCCCTCTAAATAATACTTCTGCCATGTGTCTTCTTCAATCTAAACAGAAGTAAGTTGTGAGTTTCAAGCTCAGGTTTCAAACGGTGACACTGTTTGCTCCAGCATGTGAACTGACCTTGATGTAGGACCTCATGGAGAAGAGGTTAGCCAGCATGGTGGACAGACCCTGTGCCAGGCAGCTCTGAGCGATGAAGCCCAGCTTCAGCTCGGCGAGGCAGATGGCGTCATCGCCCTCCTTCCAGTTCCAGCTCGGGATGTTGAGAAGATGAGCCTGGAGAAGACGAGGACAGAAAGTGCACGCATTAAAGGCCTCATAACTGTTTGAAACAAGATTTTGAAGTACAATGTGACAACTCAAAATTCCGTCTTTAGTTCATCCAGAACATTTATCGATACCAAACAGCTTGTGATTCTTAGTCTGAATTTTGGAGAGTACCCCAGAATGTAATCAACGTAATCATTTCGCTCTGGGGTACTCTCCAAAAAGGCGGAAGATGGTAACTCGGGGACAAGAATTGTTGAATAAATTATGTTATTATTGTTTAATTTGCGCACAAAAAGTATTCTCGTAGCTTCGTAATATTACGGTTGAACCCCTGAAGTCACATGGACTGTTTTACAGATCTCCTTGCTACGTTTCTGTGCGTTGATCGTGGAAGGACCCTTGCTGTCTATGCAGGGTCAGAGAGCTCTCAGATTCCATCAAAAATATCTTAATTTGTGTTCTGAAGGTGAACGAAGGACTTATGGGTTTGGAACGACATGAGGGTGAGTAATTAATGACAGAATTTTCATTTTTGGGTGAACTATCCCTTTAATTCTAAAGATCATGAAAAGGGAAAATGGTCATGAAAAGCAACATTTTGGCTGTTTTTGGTACAATAAACTTATAATGGCATGGAAACGCTCACCTTATTGTGGTACTGCAGCATCTGTGTAATGATTCGGATCTTTGGATGGTAGTTTTTAATGGATATCACCCTAGAAAAACACACATCAAAAGTTGTTTTTTGAGTATAATGCACAAATTCTTATTTAATCTTTTGTTTTTGTTTTTTGGGGGGATGTCTCACCTCATGATATTGGATGCATCTTCAGCGTCAGGATCTGCACAATATTTGTTGGCTAAGATCAGACAGGCATCGGCTGACTCAATCTAGAAAAATGGGTTTAAACAACAGATCTAATTTAAAACATGATTAAACTTTACAGGATGTAAATAAATGGGCCAAAAAAAAAAAAATCACTTTTTGCAGGGTTCCCATATTTTTGTGCACTGAATTTCCTTTTTCATGAACTCAGCTGTTTGTTATTACTCCATAAATATTTTCAACACCAGTCAAATTGCTAACAAATCATTCAGACCAATTAGTGAACCAGTTAAAAAGACTCATGGCACACAAAAAAAGTTCTTTTAGGATCCTTGATAAACTATGATAACTTTTTTTATTTAAAAAAAAAAAAAAAATCTGTTTCAAATTAAATATTTTTATATTTTCTGTATTCACTTCAATTTTAATTTAGTTTTTTGGTTTTTTTTTGTAATGTTTAACAGTGTTATTTTAGCATCATTAATATACTATTATAGTTTTTGTTAATTTTATGAATGAGATATTATTTTTACATTTTGTTTTCATCTTAATTTTCGTTAAAGTTTTAGTAATTCTGCTGTGTGTGTTTGTCATTTTTATTTGTTTTTGTTTTCTTTAAACACGTTTCAGGTTTTTTTGTTATTTTTCTTCTTTAGTTTATTTAGTTTTAGTTCTTCGAGTAAAACTAAACAAAAATGATAAACATTGCCTTGGCAAATAGCTGGAATCAAATAAATTTTTGTATATTTTATTTTATATCAGTTAACATTTATTTTATTTCAAGCAATGAAAACATGTTTAATGGTTTTAGATTACTATAATAACCCTGCTCTACACAAGAACAATGCCTGATTAAATATTTTACAGAGCATAACTAGAAAACAGTAGATTTTTTTTTAGAAATTGCCATGATTTTTTTTTATGATCATATAAATTTCTGACATTTCACTACACACTTCTACATGTTTTTTCCCACTAATTTGTCAAAGCAACTTTTCGGTTTTTAGCCTGCAGACTATAGATTAGACCTGTACCTTGACTCGAGCGAGATCATGAGGGTTGAGGACGGATCCCTGGTAAAACTCCACCTGTGTGAAGTGTCTCTTGAATAAGGCTTCCAGCTCAAGATTAGGGGAAATACTGAAAACACACACACACACACACACACACACAACGGCACTGTGAGACCAAGACATTCATCCCACAAAACAGAGCAGCAGGAGCATTCTTCAAAACGTCTTTTGTGCGGATGAAACCTCCATTCAATTTCAACATTGTACTTACTTATGGAGAAAAACTATTTCTACATTGACATCATCCCTGTCCTTGTGTAGGAAGTCTTTGAGGAAGTTGGAGACGCTCTCCAGTGTGATGTGACCGCAGACGACTATATGCCTGAGAAACGCAACGGGTGAGTATTCATCAGAAAACATCACAGCTGATCAACAAGAGAGAAAACCACCCAGATCACACGTTTAACACAACATTTAGCCTTAAAATCATACAAAATCAGACTGAAATCATGTGAAATGAACCCTGAGCATGTGCTAGTTTGAAGGGAGTCTGGGTGGGTTTTCTCTGGAGGAACAGGATTTATACTGTAACAACAACAAACCTTGTCTTAAGTTTACTTAAAACAACAACAACGAGTGAGTTTAAAGCAGTAACAGCAATGCAGTGCCACTTAGAGTTAAAGACCCCATAAAATCACTACTCAGACATTAATCAACATTTAATGAGCTAAAAATCAGAATAAAATCCGAAGCCATAACGATAATCTCATAAAATACATTTTAAATACTTTTATCTGCTAAAATGAGCATATACTGTAGATGAGCTACAGACTAAACAACAAAAAAACTATCTTGATTTCATGGGGACTTTAAAGCCAAAGCATTTGAGCAATGAGCTGACGGTCTGAAAAGGATAGTACATCAAAATGACTGCTGATGATTAATTATAAACTAATGCAAGCATATATTTCATATACGATGTGTACACTGTTGTAGCTAGCATTAAAATAAGTTGACACACAAAACATTACAGTGACGTGTAGTTGAATTTTGTGATTGTACATGTACTATGAAAAATATGCGACACCTCATAAAATGGCTTATATTAGTGTTATTTAACAAGAGTTTAAGTACACCTGAAAGTTTGAAAAGGCTCAATGAAAACATATATATATATATATATAATTCAAAAGATTGGGGTGGGTACAGTTTTTTGCTTTTGAGGTTTTTTTTGATCAGCAAGGCTGCATTTATTTGATCAAAGATGCAGTAAAAATTGTGAAATATTATTACAATTCAAGTAGCTGTTTTCTATGTGAAAATGTTAAAATTTAATTTATTTCTGTGATCAAACTGAATTTTCAGCATCATTACTCCAGTCTTCAGTGTCACATGATCTTCAGAAATCATTCTAATATGCTGATTTGCTGCTCGAGAAACATTTCTGATTATTATCAATGTTGAAAACAGTTGTGCTGCACAATATTTTTGTGGAAACTGTGATACACTTCATTTTTCAGGATTCACAGATGAATAGAATGTTCAAAAGAACAGCATTTATTTGAACATTATAAATTACTTTACTGTCACTTTTGATCAATGTAATGTGTCCCTGCCGACTGAAAGAACTAATTTCTTTCCAAAAATAAAACCTTTTGAACTGTACAAAATACGGCTTAGCGATAAAAACATACAACACGCTACACGCAGAAGCCCAGTGTCACAAGTAGCACGAATCAGCAAGCGATGAGCGACTCACACGACGCCACAAGCAATGAGATGATTTGTGCCATTTGACCCCAGACCCTCATAATAATACGACTTCCTGTGGAGGAGCACCTCTGACGTCACAGGAAGCACTGCAGCGACTTCCTGTGAGGTCAGAGTCCGCGCTCCTCCACGCCAGACCCTGCGGAAAATAAGAACCTTTTCATTAGAGGTTCGGTGCCTTCGATCCTTTGACTTACTTTCTTCCTCGGGTCGAGTTATAACTCCCTCCATATTTCTTCCGATTAAGGATGAGAGCAGCGATTTCTGGCACGTAGCGAGCAAACATTGCCTACATGCATGGGACAGAGAGAGAGACGGGCATGCAGACGGGCCGAGCGCACTGAGCGAGCGCAGCCCAACCCGCGGTACTTACTTTCTCCCATTTACTGCACTATAGGAACCACCATATTTCTTGCGGTTTCCTATTAACTCTATGATTTCAGGAACGTAGCTGGCAAACATGGCCTGGAGGAGGAGACAGGAGACACAGGACAATAGAAGTCTGCCAATGCTTCTACCTTCAGTAGAAGAGAGGTTTCATATCAGAAATAAGAGCCTTGAAGCGATAGTTCAGCCGAAATCAGAGTTCAGTCCTCGTTTGCTCACCCTCATGTCATTACAAACCCCTATCATTGACTTTCTTCTGTGAAAAAAGATGCATGTATAAAAACAATGAAATGAAAATGATGGGTGGCCGAGCCAGAACTTGAACTGAATTGAGCTTGCTTTCATAACTGATCAACTTAGACATCATTAAACGGAACTAGGGCTGTATATGTAACAATTAATAAAAAATTCAATATAAAAAATTTACATTTATATAAAAAAATAATTTATATTTTATATAAAATCAATATGAAGAATTAATATTGAAATAATATATTAATATTGTATTATTTAATTTAATTAAGGACAATAAGTTAATCTTAAAACATTCAGATAAGCAGTGAATTGTATTTCAAAAACACTTACAGCTGTTATGTATTTATTTTAGTATTACACCAATCAAATTTATCAATATACATGTGGCTAACTGAAATGATCTGTGCACTAATGTGTTTTTTATGTAGAAAATGTTTTATCAAAGTATTACTGTAAATTATTAATATTAAAATTAATGTTAATTTTGATTTATAAAATATTGTATATAACTAATTTTACTCATATTAATGAATGTAATTATTTGTATATATTTAAATAATTACATTTGTATATAAATGTAATATTAATATGAAAATAATGTATCAACATTAATATTTTATTTCTTTGATTATATGAAAATAAATCCTTAGGGCAATAATTTGGTCTTACAACGCTCAGATAAGCAGTGAATTGTTTTTCAGAAATACAGTTTTTGTTTGTAATACGTTGACAGAATTAATCATTATAAAAGGGGCAAACTGAAATGATGTTAATTTTTTTAATGTAGAAAATGTTTAATAAAAGCATTGCGATAAATACTACAATTAATTCCAAAATGACATACACTGTTTAAATGTTTATATTTCAACAACAAACTGGAGTAGAGACATATAATTATATCAATAAAAAGTTATTAATTATATTTAATATTTTAATTTAAATTAAGTATAGTTATTTAAATACAACTATTCATAATGAACTAATTATTACTATTTATTTTCATTTTAATTATATTTAAATGTTTGTTTACAAATCACCGTACTATAGTAATGTGCCAACAGACTGGGTTTATTGAATAGTTACAGTTGAGAGAGATTTTTTACACTATCGAATCGAATTGAATCAAGATCCAAATTTAATTGAATCGCAAGCTTTGAATCAAATCACATCGAATCGAATCATGAAATCTCTTAATACTCAGCCCTAAACTGAACTGAATCAGCAGTGAACTGATTTGAACCGAATAACAACACTATTTTCTCTTTTTGTCTCTTATTTGAAGTTTGTATTACTGATTCTCATATTGTTCCGTTTTATTATTTATTTATTTATTTTCTGTATCGTATAAAGTGCTATAAAAATAAATGTGATTTCTGAAGTCATATGATCGCTTGTCTGAAGAATAAGTCATATGAACTGTAACTTTGGTCCCCATTCACTTTCATTATATCGAAAAGTAGACCTTTCGAGTTCCACCGAAGAAAGAAACGACACGAGGCTGAGCAAACGATGACAGAACGATCATTTCTGCACACACTATACCTTTAAGTGTTAAATACTGGAGCTTTAAAATGCAGACAGTGAGAGTCAGAATGCTTGTGTACATGCATTGCCCAGAATTGAGAGGCTGGAAGGTTTTAGGATAAAAGTAAAAGCATTCTGTTTGACAAATATCCCTGTTTGAAGGGATATCGGTGTTGAAGAGAAGAAAAGCCACAGATGAGATGCGATCTGCCGTTTAAGAGGGAAAACGGTGAAGTAAAGGAGGAAACCTCAAGAGCCATGTTTAGTCCGAACAAACTCTTACGCCGGGCTGATATGAGCACGACTGTCACCTGTAACACTGCTGCACTTTACCTTTTACATTATTTACATTATTATAGGAGTTCATAAAACTGCCTCAGATCTCAAGCATTACAATACATACAATTAAGAGCAAAATATATTTCATTACAAACTTTATGAAAAATTATGAACATTAATTGTAATATATTTACAAATGATAATATTTTATTAATATTACTATAACTGTTTTAATATATTTATATCATTTTATTTTAATAATTCATAATATTTTTATGAAATAATATTTTAATATTAATAATTTATTATTTTATTTATATGAAAACAATCATGGCAATAAGCTGGTCATTAAAAACTTTCAGATAAGCAGTGAATTGTCTTTCATTAACACTTTTTTTGGTATTACACTGACCAAATGAATCATAAATATGGTAAATTGGAAAGATCTGTGCACTAATGTGTCCTTAATTT